TATTCCTTTTCACAAATAATGTCTAGAAACAAGCTCATGGAAATTCTCGGTTACACACACTTCGACAAGAACAATGAACAAAGTCAAAGATTGGAAGCAAACAAATTTTCTTTGACTTCTGCAAAATTGGACGGATTTACACGAAATAGTCACACGGGTTACAAATGACGAACAGTTGTTGCCGGCCCAGACTAAATGTCGTTTTTCGCGGCATATGTTAAATAAGGTCGACAAGTTTGGCATAAAGTTTTTGTTAACAGCGAATACGTAGTGCTCAAGCGTGCTGAACCATATTTATACTTGGGCCGAAATATAAGTAATTCTTCACAAGTACAGCTCTCGTGAGAGCTTTACCTAGAAACATTAATGCATATTGTATAACTTTATAAAGTGGTGTCTAGAAGAACTCAATCAGTGACAGCGACCTAATTCAATTATTTAATCATTAATTGTTACTGGTCCGATAGGAGCCTTTTGTGCAAGGAACGTGCAAGTTGTATACTTGGCTTTGACAAACTTTTCAAAAATATTTTGACAGGATCGAAAACGTAGACAAACATATGAAAAAATTGTCGGTGTTTTTCGAAGTTGTGTTAGTTTTTTCTACATTGTGTAATTTGGACAAAGTAAGCTTGCAAAATCAACCATATCATAATTCTAACCACTTAACAAAGTTCTGCTCCATCAATCACTTTTTGAATCAGTGTTTTTCATGAGTCGTTTTTTATTTACATTTAACCCCGTTTGGCTTTACTAAAAAAGACTTTTCTCAATTTTCGCAAATTATGAATTTGGGAAAAGTAATCTTTACTTTAAGTTGACAGCTTCTAAGGAAGACGGTAAACTCACGTGCTCCATCATTATTATTATGTTATTTACGTTGCGAAGATTGTTATGGAATCTCTAAGGTAAAGGTAGTTCTAAATTTTACTATCGTATTTCTTTGTTTTTTTACTTTTGCGGCAATATTTTGCCATTAGCATGCTCGCATTACGTTTAACTGGCCAGCTCATATAAAGCAAGCTGACTGACTGAGTATATAAAAGAAAACAAATACAATTTTTAATTGCATTTTTTTTTTTTTTTTAAATCGAAATTAACACATATGCATGATAAACCAAATATTGGATAAAAAGTATATTAAGGTTAATATGGTAATAAAAAGATCATAAACAATTTGGTTAACTTAATCAATTAAAAAACACGAAAAATTTCAATTAAAAAGCCAACTAATGAAACTGGAATAATTTTTTATTTAAGTTGAAAGGAATTTTTTTGAAAACAACTCATTTTTTATTCAGTTTCACAATTAAAAACGACTCCAACTGGTGTTGCGAACTTTCCAACTGGTGGGTGATGTCGTAGTACCTCCCCTACACACCCAACTCTTTTCCCACACCGTCTTTTAAAATAACGTCTTTCACTTATCAGTGCAAGTAAACCTTTTATACGCGAATATTTTGTTGTTTAATTTTTTTTGGAAAAAAAATAGATTATAATATAAATTTTATTATTTTTTTGCGCGATATTTTAGAGATATATTTTGGATTACTTCATCTTCTACGTTTTGTCAAAGTTGAAACATATCCCCAAATTTACCATATGTCACCTGTAGTTTTTTACACAACTTTCCTCTTTCACGGTTTTCTGAGGGACATATCTACCGTGTAAAAAGGATTTGAATGTATAAGCTTTTGACCGGTTAGAGATTCGGAATACACATAAGGATGTCCGCCTTTTTGTCTGTCCATCTGCCCGCCTGCCCAACCATTTAGTATTTTTGGTATACATCCTCCCGTTCCCAAAAATGAAGATATAAAACTTGCTTTTAAAAATTTTCAAGGGATTTTGAAAATAGCCCAAGCAGATCAAGGAAAACGCCCACAATACCCACACGTACAGAAAACCAAAACTGAGAAAATTTTTACCTTCGCTCGTACACTACAACAGATACACGACATAAATTTTCACAAAATTATTCTACAAAAACAAAAAAAATCAGCTATTCTATTATGTGATGGGTATAATTTTCTTATTAAATGTTTAAATATTTGTATAAATTTTTATCATGCAACATAACATTTATTTTTATAACCGTGCGACGACAAAAATTTGCAAACTAAAGATTGGATATCCTTCTTTAACTGTTGCAGTCGCCAAGTATGTGTCAAGCAAAAACAAACATTTTTTAAATTACATTTAAAAGCAAAAAGGAGAAACTACTTAAAAAATCGCATTTGTCATTCTTTTTCTATTCAACTTTCTAAAATCAATTTAAAACTTTTTTATATCAGTGCAAAAAATTTAAAAGGAAATATAATGGCAAATTGGCCAAAAAAAACGCAAGAATGTTATCGCTAAGTTCAGCCGACTATTAGATACTCACCACTTCAACTACCTTAAAATTTTTACTTCAGTACGAGCTTGTCTGCTTATTGATAGGGACCGTTCCGTATTGAAGCTTTAGATGTCCCTTAATAGCACACATTTAGAAGACCCTTCTAACACTTTTAAGATTGATAACGGCTTTAGTTTAAAGCTCTTTGACAGTAACATTTGCGGCATTTCGTCTTTCTATGCTGTCTTTTTTCCACTTTGTCAACTAGCAAGGACGTACGCTCGACGGCATCACGTTCGTTGTTCGTTGACCTTTCCTTTTTAATTGTGCATACATGTAACCCGTTTATCCAACCGTCTGACGCAACAAAAATTCAACACCGCAGGACTGCCCAAGCTCGAAAGGGGAATTTACTAAATATTCATGTAGATTTTTGGGTATTGGCTAACAACTTATGTTTTCAAATCTGCCCCATAATTGTGATCTTCTTAGGTCAATTGTAGCTTGCACTTTCTAACAAGAATTGGAAAATGGTAGCAGGATTAAATTTACATAGACAAATCAAAAATACTACTATTATATGTTGTCTAATTTTTCGATTTTGGGTATTGCGAACAAAATGACAACAGTAACGAGTTTCCTTCTTCAGTTATGGATGTAAAAATGAACACAAAAACCGAACAATGTTTTACCTTCCTATTAAGTAAACACCTAACATTAGCAATTACTTTCTTATTTTTATTATGAGCTTTAAAATAAATTTAATTAAAAGAAAGTTTTAATAAAAAGTTTAACTACCAAAGAATAATAATGAACAATACAATCGCGTAACATCTGACAAAAAACCTATACAGTGAATAAAATTTCAATATAACAGAGAATTATCCTTGCTTACAACGAAAGAGAATGAGATACGTGCTTTTCCGAGCAACAATTGAGAGTGAACAAACTGTTATGTAAGATAACAGTATGCATGCGTTTTACTATAATAATTGAAATGAAAGAAGACTGACAGAAGAAACTTCATGGTAAAAATGGGACTTTATGAAAATCCACCCAGTCTGCACAATAAACATATCAACAAATGATTTACAAGAATATATAATCATGTACATAACCTGTTTGAAATTGCAAAGAAAACCAAATTCAAGCCAAAACAGGTGAAAAAAGCTGCATTTTCCTAAGGGTTAATCTTTGATACTCACTTCTTCACATCGATACATCAGAATTGCAAAATATTTTTTTGAATATACAAGTGGCATTCGAACGGTGGAGCCTCTTAGCTGTTGGTTAAGAATCTTTTATACGTTTTAAATTAAAAATTCTTCCGTTAACCTCCGATTAATCCATCAACTATGAATGTATATGTCGAGTCTCGCCCTTTATATTACTTCCTATTGCTACGAAAAACTACTTTAATTTTAAATAATAACCCATTGAATTGTTGTAATTATTTTATTGTTAATTAGTGATTAATAAACATAAATTTTTTCTTCAGAATAATACCTGGTATGTGTGAAAAGTTATTATAAAGCGATTTTGATCACATTCATGTGCGAATCACGCCTGATGAAGATCATGTTTAATTTGCACAACCTTAAATTTATCAAAAATTTATATATTGCGCGTAGCTTTTAAAGGTTGCAAATCAAATAAAAATTCATCGTCATCTTTCGATTTCAATTCAGTGCAAAAACACTCGTCAGTGATTAGTTAATGCGCTCCTCAGTAAGAAAGTTCAACACAGATTTTGTACATTCACAAGACATGGCGAATACCCAAAGTTTTTTTATTCCTAAGTTGTGCCAAGTAAAACCCGACTGTAAATGATAGACCAAGATCACTCTGTTAACAAACATTTCTGTTGCAACTGCTGCCTTTATCAAATCAGCTGATTTTTCGTTCTAATTTTGCATTCATAATTTCTTTTACAATCACGAATCGCCTATACTTTTTTCGATTTTAATTGACTTTCATCTGACATAACTATATATATATAACTACAAATAACTTTACTTAACTGAACTCACAAGGAAAAACAGCACCGATAAATATAAAATAAATTCTTCAAAACGTAAACTACCGCATGGTAGGTTTACGATGTTTGCTTATAAAAAAGTGTAAAACTGTGAATAAAAATTGCTTCAATAAATATGAATAACTATGAAAAAATGCAAAATGTATGTGTACATGTGTTTGTACAATTTGTTTCAAAAACAATGTGCAGAATATTCTTCTGCAAATAAGCTTTCCTTTTTTTTCTGCAAACTACAAACACAGTATGGCGGATTGCATGCCAATAGAAAATATTTTTTCATTCTTATGCAAATTCTTACAAAATCGTATAATTTTCATTTTCGGTTTAAAAACTCCGAAGCGGTAAAACACCATTTATTTACCGTATATGTGGAAGTCGGACGGTTAATCTATCGTAATTGTGGAAGTCGGACGGTTTATTTACCGTATATGTGGAAGTCGGGCGGTTAATTTACCGTAATGCTATTCTCTCTAAATGTAACGCACTCTCTCTCTGTGTTGTGTACGAATATGGAAATAAAAGAAAAACAAAATTTCAATGCAACAGGAAATGCGCCTGCGGCAGAGAAGTAAGACTGTGAGACTGGATATAATTAATTATGAAAACAAAAGAAGCAGCACTTACCCTTCTTCAACGGTTATTCCACGATGTAGCAAACAGAAGAAAATCTTTACCTGTTTTAGTTTATAAGGCCAATGTTTATATTAAATCGCCACAACGTATAGCGTTAACAAAGCGTTCAACAAGAGAAATTAGAATAGAACAAAATTTTTCTGCATATACGTGTACAGTATTGCCGTTGCTTTCTACGGGCACACATAAAGTAGACATTGTAAAGAAAAGAATAAAATCATATGCACTACCGTGAGATGTTATGTATTCTTATTTTTTAGTAACTCATTTTCATTTGCTTACTTTAACACTAAATTCTTTTAACACACTCGTCCTCGTTAAAGTTATTGTTGTTGTTATAAGCTTTTGTGTTTTTTGCTTTTGCATTTTAGTCGGATCGGATTTGTTGTGTATATATAATTATATCGAAAGCAGAATTTCAAGAAATCCATAAAAATACAGGGTGATACAAGAACATGTGCAAAGACTTTGTCACTACTCTTTGCAGTTTTATGGAAGACCCTTCTAAGTTATATAAAAGTTTATATGAATCCAAACAAAAATTCCTTGTGTCTTAAGTAAACCTTGACAATGGGTGGTGGGGGCCAGTTTCTTTGCGTGCAACTCTTTAGTTGCTTTTTTACCATTCCTCAAATCCAAGTTAGTGCTCATTATGTGTGTATATCAACGCACTTTGGGAACCATTTATCTTCAAAAGATATCGGGTCGATCAAAAAGAAACACACTAAAAAGAAATGAGGGACGGGATGGGACACCTTTCTTAATGAATAAGTCGAATCAAAAAGTTGACTTAAGCCATTTTCATCGATGAAAGCACACATACACGGTCAAAATGCGATAGTCCTCAAAATACAGAGGTCAGGTACGCAAAAACAAAAAAAACAAAGAAAGAAATCCCAAGGAAAGGGGAAGAGTAATTGTGAAATCAGAAGACGTGAAATTGAATTAAATATCCTGTGCGGAATGCAATCAAATCTACGTATGTTAACGTGTGAATATAGCTCAAGGGCGAGAGGACAACTTGAAAGATTGGAAGTGTCCTTTATGCGGAAAGATCTTAACTTCTGCATCTCGCCTTGTGAAGTCATTTAGAAAACAAACACGAATTGCGAACTAAAAAATGATAATTCTTTACCCTATTTTCTAAAAAATGATAATTCTTTACCCTATTTTCAAAAAAATGATAATTCTTTACCCTATATCATCATTATCATGATGCTCTGCAAAAATGATTTTACAAAACTTTTAACTGCAAAGGATGGACTCTTTATGGGCACCCTGTGTAAGCGACATGTTTTCAATAAACGTTTGGTAAAATCAATAACATTGATTACATATATAAATACACGCATGTGTTGTAGGTTAAATGTGTTTATAAACAACAAACGTACATTCAGCTGTTTATTGGCTGCGCACTTTCGATAAGCGACAAGTCAACCATCCAGGCGGTTCGTTCATACCACTAAATAAGCGACTAGGTATAAATCCATAATATAATATAAAATAATGTGCGACTAAAAAAGGCTACTAAACTCTAATAAAAAAAAAGAAAAAACGTCATGATATAAACACATTCGCCTTTTAAACCATTCCAATACAAAAACGATAACAACAACATTTTGTAAAGCTGCCTAATGGAGCTTAATCTATCGAATCCAAAAACAATAATACTAACCAACGCAAAAAAAAAGTTTATTTTTAAGCTCACATCACATCAAACGCTCACAGTTGAACACAAATGCAATTACAAATTTCTTAAATTTTGTTGGAAAACAATTTTTTTTCTTCTTTTTGAATTTTCTTTTATTTCTCACTTTATCATTTGATTTTCTTATAAATTTCTGGTTTTTTCCAACAATAACAACAATAGAAAATTTAGTGAAAACAATTCATAAAGCTTATTTTCTTTGCTTTTTCTCTATGCCTTTATTTCTCAACTCTCATCTATGTATGTAGGTAATAACATTTTTTACAGAATTTTTCACAAATTTTTTTATTTATAATTATAAACCGCACGCGTTTTATCTTTTTAGATCGTAGCCTATTACAATTTATTTCTTATATTCATTATGAATTTCTTCAACAAGCTGCCGCGATTGTAGAAATCCGCACATCTTTCGAAAGCCGATTTTTTATTTTTAATTTAATTTAATTTTTTTTTTAATTTCACTTTCTTGTCTTTTCCTCTTAAAATCGTTCAATATATATACTTAAAATTAATTTAAAAAAACTCGTGCACTGCTTCATTTTCAATTAATTGAATTTCCGCAAATCGAAATTGCAATTTTAACGAATGAAATGAAAATGAGAAAATGAACGAATGAACGACCTAATAAAGAAAATGAAGTTTTAAAAAACAAATTTTACTCTCAAAAATACAATTTTATATTCTCAGCATTTTTTAGGGCATCAATAAGAAATGTACAGCAAAGTAAATTTTACTCTCAAAAATAAAATTTCATCTTCTCAGCATTTATTTTGGGCCTCCATAAGGTATGTACAGTAAAGCAAATTTTACGCTCAGAAATTGAATTTTATTATTCTCACGTTCTCACATTTAACTGGGTTGGGTTTTAACCATCAAATCTTATTTGTTTCCAAACTTTCAAACACAACCAGCTTTCTTCGAACATGTTGTTTATTTTGTATTTTTTTGTAGCAAAGTAAATTTTACTCTCAGAAATTGAATTTCACGTTCTCAGCAAATTTAAAAGATTTTTTGTGATGTGAAATATTTCTTTTTTTTCATAAAATTATTATTTTAATTAAATTATTTAATGTATTTTATTTTATTATTATATTACATTAGTTTACAGCAGAAATGCCGACTAAAAAGTCTAGAAAATGTTTAGACTTTTGTTTGTACAAGCAATTGTAAAAATTAGTGATTTTTTTTTCATTTAAGTCTCTTTTTCCCGAAACGTTACGTTATACGCGCTATACGTATTCGTGGTTCTCGACCAAACACAACGCGCAATGCGTGCTAGAACAAAATCATATGGCTAGCATCATAAAGATGTGCCAAATTACTGGAGTAAAGAATTGCGTTAAAATATAATATTTATAATTTATTTTCTTTTAATTTTATTATTTAGTTTAACTTTTAAATCTGCTTAGTTCTTAATTTCATTTAATTTTCCCTTCTTTCTGGTTGTTTTTCACATAGCATATAGAACCATATGATTTTGCTTTGTTTTTCTAAACACGTCTCTCTGCTGCTCGGAAACCACACATGCTCTTATTTGGAAACTTTGGCAAAAATTTACGTTCACGTACAACACAACATGAGTAATATATTGAACTACATATACACACGATGAGTGCCATTCCGTGCGCCATGCACAAAGCGTGACGCAAGCATATTGTTTAAAACTTTAACAGTGCCAGCAATATCGTAATGGTGCAAAATAACCAGAGAAGTCTCCTCTCGGAATAAACAAAATTTCATTATACAATGTCACAATACATTCATACGGCCAAGTAAAATTTCGTGAGACTTAAGCTTAATAAATTTTTAGACAAAAGTAAAATTATAGTTTACTTGCACTTTTTACGCAACCAAATTTAATTTACAAAGCGTATCAATAAGAGAAATAATCGTTGCTTCTAAATATATCTTAAAAGGAAAATTTCTCTTTGACAAATATATTTTCGAAGGGAAATCGTTAAAAGTGTATGTTTTCTGCTATCATTTAGTTTTCAGCCGAAAGGCAGTATTTTTTATGTTAATAAATACTATTTATCTAAAAAGGCAGTACTTTTTCTGTAAAGCCTGCGTTTCTCATTTGTAAATGTCTTATCTTTTTTCTTTCTTTATTTCTCAAAAAAATAGTTTAAACCTTGCGAGGAAGGCGCGATAGACGAACATTTCTATTAAATCATTTTCTTCCTTTCCTTCTCTAAACTTAAATGGAACCCACAGTGCCTGCGTTATGCTTTACGCGCGGCTCATAAACTGTCAAAATAATTTTGATTTTGTAGAAACGTAGATAAACATATAGCTTGCGCTACGTTGTCCATGATTGTAAATTTTTGTCAAACTTTTAAAATTTGTAGATACGTTGTTTTTAACAGATTAAATTTATGAACTTTATGCAAACAAGCCTACACCCTATGGTTTATGCTTTAAGCACAATATGATTTTACTGTGACTATTTACATTTCTATTAAAACAAGAAGAAAAAATTAAATTAAAATATATTGCTACATAGTTATCTAGGGAAATATTTTTTCGGTTTACCAATTACATTTTGCTTCAAAAAAGGCGTTGTTCAAACCAATTTTTCAATTTTTTAATTTCGCACTTCATTGACGTGTATGTAAACAAAAACTAGCCAAATGATTTTTTAACGACGCACGCAAGCTATGTGCTGTCTCATTTTGCGTTGTTGTTTTTTGTTTTAACCACTTTTGAGCCATGGCGACTTACTTAGGGGACAAACACAATGTTATTCTTATTTTCGTGTTAGAACTTCATCTATACCAACTTTCTTCATATCATATGGTTTTGCATGTGTATTGTGGAGAGTCGTCCACCGTTTTGGCCTCACGGATTCATCGTCTCTAGTTGGGGAGAGTGCTTGACTAAGTTAGAGAGTAAGCCAGTTTAGGATAGAAAATAAGAATAGAATAAGAATAGGGTAAGGATACCATAAGAATAGGATAGGAATCGATTAAGGGTAGAACAAGAATAAAATAGGAATAGTATAAGAAGAGGATAAGAATAAAATAGGGATAGATTAAGGGTAGAATAAGAATAGATTAAGAATGGGGTAGGATAATTTTAGTTTAGTTAGATTAGTCGTATTAGAGAGTTTGATTAGATTAGTCACATTGGATAGTCGAGTCTGGACAACCCTTTCGAGTAATCATCCTCAAGACAAAATTGTTTAAAAAAAAAAGAGAGAGGTAAAAAATACACTTAAATAAACAAAAAAAAAAAAATTCGTCAAAAATCGGGTGAAAAAAAGAGAGAAGAAACAAAAGTCGAAAATCAAAAAAAACGAAGTAAAAACTAGTTGGTGTGACAAAAAACAAAGTATCAAAAGGATCCTTTTACAAGCAAAAAAAAGGCACAAAAACATACAATGAATAAAAAAAGAGAAATCAAAATAATGAAAAGGCTAGCTAGCGGCAGTGAAACCGTTGACTTGCCGCACAAAGAAAAACCAAGAAACTACATACATATAATATCAGTCAAAAAAAAAAAAACAAAACAGAAAACGTATAAACGGGCTGTGAAATTGAAAATATACGAAAACGAATACGCAACAACGCCGCATTCGATTGTCCATAAGAGCCCGTCCAAAACAACTACCGCAAAGTCGTCGCCACAAAAAAAAAACGCGCAACGCATCAGAAGGCGAATTGGCAATGACAGCTTTGCCGCATAAGGCGAAATGAGTTGTCGTCAAATGAGAGAAGAAACAATCGATCGCGGACAACAGAGAGAACACCATCAAAAATCGGAAAAAAAAACAAAATTCGTGTGCTGTTAAAAGCAAAGTGCAAGTGTGGTAAAACAAACAAAAGAAATAAAAAGGGAAAATATGCAATCTTTAATAATAACAGCAGAGTGAAGCCATTAAGAAAAAACACTGAGGGGAAATCAAAATCGTTCAAATTAAAGACAAAATTTAAATACAACAACATCCGCGTCTCTTTTGTGCAAAACCTCTGCCTGTAGCGTGAAAAATTCGGGAAAAATCTACTCAAAGACAAAGGCCAAGTCAATGACAAAAAATCCGAATACCAAAAAAAAAAAAAAAACACAAAAGGGAGAAAAAGAAAAAACCAACAAAAAATAAATTTAGTAACTTTGGGTCAAAAGGAAACCTTCAGAATACGCTCTGTCTCGCATCTTTGAAAGGGAAAAAACAACCAATGAGGGATAACCGAGTTTACTACAGACATAGTTTATCAAAGGAAAATTGTAATTACTTTCTTTTCTCCAGCTCCTTGAACGAAGCAAGTACCAACATCATCAACACTACCAGCATCAGCAACATAGCCAGCATATCACCATCCCAAACGACGCAAATTGCAAGTGGAATCAAGTCAGAGAGTAAAGAGTGAGTGTGGGTGTGCGCTGCAGCACCGGCCATTAAAATCAATCTGCTTCTTGCCAATGGGTGACGGGTTTGGCGCACCACTACTCGCATCTATTAGTGGTATCTGTTCCTTAGTTAGTGCATGAATTCAGATCGGTGTTGTTTAAGTCATAGGTCTTCGCATTCTCTAATAATAGACAGCGGAAACTGCTACCAATTAGAGAAACGTGACGCTTTTACCTACGTTTGTTAGCCCCGTCGCTTAACGGATCAAAAAAATATATGTCAATAAAGTTACGTGTTTAGTTAACCAACCAAACAAATACTACAGCGATCCACGCAAAGTAATAGCTGTAGTGTGATCGCATACCGTCGTATGCATCATCTTTGAAGTTCGACAGAATTATGCTGAATTTGCATAATTCTGTAGCAAAAAAAGAAAATCAAAAATTTTGTCGCACTTCAACTGGCTGGGTATTGCATTACAAAATGCAATACGATGCCAGGTGCCCCAATTAATTAGTGATTACGTTAGCATAAAGTCACCTGTTAAATATAAATAGTGCACCTTTTTAATAAAGAACTCAATTGTTATCAAGCAATTCAAAATAACCAGGCGTTTAATTCGCTAACAAAGTAATAGGTGTTAAATCCGCCCAAGGTTAAAGGTTTAGGGACAGTCTCATGCCGAGACTCATTGGCAAATCTATGAGACGGAAAGACTTGGCGTTCTGAAGCCGAGCAGAATAGGGATACACCCATTCTACCACAACTCTTTGTTGTATTTAAACATCTTTTATGTTACATTGTGATCCTTCGACCGATTCTGAAAGGCAGCCAAAATTTTTAAGGCACCCAAATAATTTTTACACACCTCCTATAACTCCCGCCCACAAATTGATCCCACCCGAGGACAACACTCAACCTTTCGAGGCAGAACACGGCACATCCTCCTTAACCCCCTTGGACTTGGAACACGCCCATCCACTATTTTTTGGCGACGACGTCACCACTATTGATACCAGGACGTAATCAAGGAACGCATACATAGACAGCAGTTCCGTGCTAAGCAAACAAGAAGCAGCATTCACCCTACCCACAATTAGAAAACATATCTAAAAAAAAAAAAAAGAAGGAAACATGAAAAAAGAAAATATGTATATATGAAAAATATACTGTAACGAGTTTCCTTAGGCAGGGTATGACTCAGCCAATCCAGGATCCGTTGCAAGAAAATTTTAATAAATAATCAGGACCTTCGGGGGGGATGGTGTTATGATCTCTTAGCTTTATTGGTTCCACTTTATTGGACGGAAGTAAGAAATGGCTGGGGCAAGGAACCAGCGAGGTGACCCGACTTGTCGCGTTATTATCGTTTTACGGTATTACTTCTGACGTTAGGATTCTGTTACGGTTTAAATCGCGGGGTGCTGGAAGAAAGAACCGGAACCTTTGCCAGTGCCATAGCTGCCTAGGCTCGCCTGTTTGTCCCTGGTTGGTGGGTGAGTCCAGTAATAAGATAGTAAAAAAAGTCTCTCCGTCCTTCAGGGATGGCGATTAATACTAACCAACGCATCCCCTATCCGTAAAGTCAATTATCCTGTAAGTCCTTCAGGGA